TTATCAACTCGAATCTTCGTTAGATTTCACCGTGGCCATCTGCCACGTTAAATTGGGCAAATAAAAGCGCCACGATTTCGAAAGACGATCGATCGCATGAGGACATTCATTTACTGCCGTTGTCGCAACCAACGAGATGTCGCGACAGAGGTTAACGGACGAAACTATCCAGCGACACATTTTCATCTGAATCATCTGACCTGATTTCTAAATTATCGAACAATCGTGCGAAGAACGATAGGAAGCGTGTCGTGCGATAACAGGTACACTCATTGTTCAATTATAGATCGAGTTATCATTGATCTTACGTATCTTCTGCCTAATACTTGTCAAACTTGTCAATACTTAGAAACAGATTTATCGTCACTCGAAAGAATTTTCTGAAAAGATCTTATCTTACGAGAACTCTTGAAATGTTATTATCTTGGTAAAACGGCGATAGGATATCGATTAGCAAAATTGGACGATTAACAAGTAGTTGACGCAGAATCCGATCGCGCAGTAAGCAATTTATCTGAATAAATTTATCAACAGATTGATTGATTAAGTTCTCAAGAAATCGTCTTTGAACTTTGTTTGAGAAAGATATCGGTGCATGCTATAAATACGCATCATGAATTGCGCAGTTTTTCGTTGAAAGATCGAATAATCTACCATAAAGTTGCGCAATTGAAATGCTTAAAACGGCGTCTACAATGAGATTTTAATTAAAACTTAAGCCTCAAGGTGTAAGAAATTGACTAGTCATAGTCAATTATTCTCCTCACATTCGACTGTGATTGGCTAATTTTTTACGATTTAGGATTTAAAGCTGAAGTTTTACGCCTTAAAATTTCAGTGTAGACATCGCTTATGTATAACATAAATAGACTAGTAAATAAACGAATTACGAAATTCGAGATTATCCGTAAATGAACAAGCGGCAGATTGTACAGTCGCTAAACTCGGGATATTGATAGATAAAGATATATCGCGGGGTCAAGCAATCTCGCCGAGTTTATAATAATGCTAATTCATATGCGCGTCATAACGACGAGACGATTGTGCAGACGGCTTGTGGTTTATCCTCGTCGCGCAAACACACGGTGCCGAGACATGTTTCCGCGAATTTCCTAATATTCCGTTTCTATTATTGTGAATACCCGGATGAAAGATATTTAAACGCGCTTGTTATATAAGATCGTTTGACGTAACGTGCTTGCTCAAACTATTAATTAATGTTTCTGGAGAATTGATGTCTCATTTTCGTAATATAGCACGAGTTTCGCTTTCATCTAACATTGTGATCATACGAGAGTCTACTGCATAGTAGAGAGAAAGTTTTATGAAAGCTTAGGAGGAAGGAGAGAAAGAGTTTACTAACGGCGAATTTTAGGATGTAGTGTTAATGTCCAAATGATTAACGGTAATCTGAGATTATTAAGGAATTATGAGATTAGTGTGTATACGGCTCGGCGAGATTTCAAACGTAAAAAATGAATCATACGAGAGACAATAGCTTGATTATTATACCACGAATGATTAATAAAAATTGCGTACGTCAAGTACTAAGGTGCGGCGACGCAGTCTTGACCTTCTGCGACATTTCAATGAAAGTTCAATGATAATTATGGAAAAAAGGTAACTCTGAAATAAACACAGCGATGTTATGATAGCATTAGTCTGCTTATCCCTCTGAAGGTTGTGCTGTATATTTCAAGATTACGTTTACACGGAATTTTACGTATTGTTTACGTTAAATTTACACGATCTTTTTCATATAGACAATACAAGTAATGTAAAATATGTAAATTATTATTATAAATTGGATAACGCAATACAAAAAGAGATAATTGAGTTTTATAATTGTTAATATATCTGACTTTAATATTGCTAAATAAAAATTTATAAACAAGACGGAAGCTTTAGTGCAGTTTAACGCAAGGACGAAGTACAAGTTTCGGTAATACATAGATTGTTTACATAGACAACACGTAAAACATATAATTTACATATACAGGAAAAAGACTAGTCTTAAATTAACTATAATGCTCACATATATAAACAAAAATATTATAATCTTGCTTCAAAGATTTTAGCATTGATTTGAATTTGTTTTGATGCAAGTATTACTTTGCACTGAATTCAAGACTTGTTTAATCAAAAATCTTAGATAAATACAAATTTAATCAAATCGAGACTAAAATCTTTAAAACAAGATATGATATTTTTGCTTATGTATGAATATATTATGATTGATTTAAGAATATTGTTTCTATGTAATTTGCTTTATATATACATATAAATTATTATATTAAACGCCGCACAATCCTGATTTTCATCTTGATCATGTAAGATTTAAAAAAGGACGAGACACAATATTGTAATGTTTTTTATCCACAAATACTTTTTCGTGGAAATCATATTCTTAATATCGGTCTTATCTCACAAATCTGATTAATCGAACATAATTATTAATCTTCTGTCATCAGTTTTGTATATTTGATCTGTTTATCATCGATGAGATTCAACTGCGTCGTTACAATTGTGACTTTTATTTTAACGGCGTCATTTTTAATGTTACCTAGAATACCTCACTATCTCGTTATCTTCTGCGTCAAATAAACAAGATTTAATTACAGATTCGACAAGACTTAGAATTTGAAAGCAGAGATTTGACATATCTATCTCCACACGAGTTCCAGATGTTTCGCAAGTTCTCGTTTAATATCTTAGTCGAATCGTAAGGCAACAGATGTCTCATATCTTTATTACATTACTTTCCAAGTAAGAGAAAGGAAGAGAGACAGAGCGCATCTCATTAGAGTGTATTCTAGAAATTATCGCAAAGGATGATATATAGTCTGCAAATAGTGCTAAATTTATGGCAACTTTTGCCTCCTTCGTGAAATCTTGACGTCACTACCCGAAATGAGATTGTGCGAGCTGTTAGTTTCGCGATATAACGCACGCCGACACGCCGCTTCGTTAAATTGGAACTCGATTTTCACCGGATGCGTTGCACTCAGAGAATCCTATTGTGTATCCGATTGAAGTGCATTCGCTCGTATAGTTCATATTGCATAGGAGAAAAGGACGCCAATTGTGCGTCGATTTATTATTCGTGTACATTTATACGAGCACACCTTTTACGTAAATTTTTCTCACCGACCCATTTGAATCTTTCGAAATTTTTTTTTATCTTTATAGTACTGCGTCTTGCATCGTGGAAGTATGTCACGTTCGGAGATGCATCGTAATAAAGGACATTTCATAAAAACAAACAATTGCGCGCCTTCGAATTGTGATAATAGCTACGTCCCTTTGAAGTGTCTCAACAAAACGTTTTCACTGAGAATAAAATGACAGAACGTTATATCAGTCCGTGCGGAATCGATAACGAGATCGATAACGAGTAGTTTTATTTTGAAAAGCACTATAATACTGGGTTTGGGAGTGTTGTTGGTGTAAAATTACACGTAAAATCGAAGGAATGAATATTAAAATACGATTAGGATTGAAATCTGAGTCTATCTGACACGCCTCTTTTATGTTCTTGCTTCTTGGCCCCGTCGCAATCTTATTTTTAATCAATCAAATTATTGAAATTACTGTACTTAAATTATCAAACGTAACTAAGTTAAGCAAGAAAACTAATTGCTGCAGACAGTTTGATAAAAGGTACGGCAATGTAGGTGCTATCTTTATCTTCTTATCGCGCTCGTTTCTTCTTGTCTAGTATATACAATAATAAACGGGTCGCATGTACACGATAATGATATTAGTTGTTCCGATAAATGTGGGGCGTCTATTTTCATCGAAAAGGGCCAAATGGTAAAGTTTAATGGATTTAACGGTAAAGTTCAAAATGCGTAGTGACTCGAACGAGAAACAAGCGCCGGAAAAATCAGAAAAATTCGTCCGAGACAATCTGTCGTTCAGTAAAATCGATAGTCGTGTGAATTTCTCGCAATCGGTTTAACGAGATACGCAATGAAACGAAGCACGTGCCGAAATATTGTATATCGAACTATGAAGGGCGCTTAATCAGCGTGTTACGCCACATGACGGAATTATCCAATAATCCGTCCCGCAGGTCATTACTCCGGCTCGTACCGACAAGTATATGTTTGCACAAACACATATATTTGCATTTATCTACCGACTCGGTGAGCGCGCACACGTTCGCCATACGGCTGTGTAAAGATGATATACGCGGTGATACTGCCTCTGATAAGAATAGGAAGCGCAAATGACAGGATCGGCTTTGTTTGCCTCGTGTGAGCCTCACGGTGCGCGTGTCCCCTGCGACATTTTGACGAGCGATGTACACGAATGGTATAAAATTCGTGACGAGATAACAGAATCACACACGAGAATGGAAGAAGACTCGTGGGAGAAGATTCATCGGTTTTCCTCGCAAATACCTGTAATCCGGATTTATCTTTTGGTACTCTTTCTTCTTTCCGGCGCTTACCGTTAGCTCCCGAGATCAGTCTTCGTCCTTATCTACTTTTCTACGAAAATCCTAAAGCCAAGAAAATGGCTTTTTTCCTGACACCTTGGCAAATGTATATCTGGAGTCGGTTTAGTAGAAAGGATACGGCAATAGATACTGCCCCACACACATCTCAAGTAAATTTACTTAAGCCCAGTTCCACAACTCATGATTAACTCTTAACTGTGGTTCAATTTGTATCTCATCTCTTTCCAATTCTAGAATTAGAAGGAGACAATGAATAAGTTAAACCTCGGTTAAGAGTTAACCGTGAGTTGCGGAACTGGGCCTTAAGCGGTTACTAAATCATATAAAATCATGTAGTTCTTGGAAGGTATAAAATATCTTTGAATCGAAGTCGATAATTTTATTGTAAGCTCATTTATGATTCCAGTTAATAGTACATTATATGTACATATGTTACCACGATAATTTATCGATTCGTAGAACAGAAACGAACGTTACATTACCCGATCGCTCTCCTCAATCTCTGCTAATAATCGGTTCTTATTTTTTGTTACAGTTCAAACGAATGCTGAACAAGGAACTGTCGCATTTCTCGGAATCGTCCAAGTCTGGGAATCAGATCTCGGAATATATCTGCAGTACCTTCCTTGGTAAGTCGAACGTGATTCTTTTGCTTATTAAAGTTATTATAATGAGAAGAAAGCGAGTTATAAATTATAAGTTCATGGGAAGAATAAGAATTGACGTACATCGTTCCCCCTCTTCTTTAAGATAAATACTGCGTTTTCGAGAATAACGGAGAAAACGAATGAAAAGAAATTCGCGAGAATACGTCTAACAAGGTCATCGCCGGAAGCAAGTTTATGGGTGCAATAAAATGAGCGCTCTTACGCATTAAAAGCCCTTGAAAGATCGTAACCGGTATCGCCGTCACCATTCATTCTGGTTAGCTCGTTTTGTGCGCAAGGTTTATAATCGGTGAGGAATTGCGTCCGATTCCTTTGTATGCAAAAATGTCTCAGGAAAAAAAACGCAAAAGATATGATTTCTTGGCACGAAATCGTTGCATCGACAACGTCTATCTGCCTTTAATATACCAGGGTTGTTTGAAAAGTTCTCGGCCTAATACAGAAATGACGTCACAAATATTAAACTGCTATAATTTTAGACAAGTTTGATTCTATTAACAGGACCACTGCTAACATTAGAACCAGCGATTAGTTTCTTTGTTTCAATTGTGTAAAACGACCAACTTTTGATTTCACCTTTCGAGTCACCTTTGGTTCCAATTATAAGTATTTCATAAAATTGCATGAATTGTTTCCGAATTGATTCCGCATGCACCATATTTACCAGATTCAGTCCCTAGTGACTTTTTCTTCTTTCCAAATATCAAGAAATAAAATTTCGCAGAAAAACTATCTGGCTCAAATACTGAAATAATCGATAAAGCTAACGTTTATTTTAGAGATTTACTTTAAAGAGAAATCGTATTATACAGATGGTAAAAAAGTTAAAATATCGTTGGAATAAGTGTACTGAGCTGAAAGGGGAATATGTTGAAAAATAAAAAAATTTGCCAAAAAAATCATGTGTTTTCTTTATCAGAGAACTTTTCGAACTCGTTTTCGAACTACCCTGATAGAATAACCCTCTTGCATCGTTTCTCTGTAAAATTCGTTTATGATGCGCTGATTTCGTTAGGTAGTTTCCTAACGAGTTTCGTTCGATGGAAATCGGATTATCGAAAGTTGACGACGGGATAACTTTTTTCTCTAGCAAAAAGAAATTCTAGCAAAATGACGCGACAGGAAATTGTAAAGACACGCCTTCGCGAATCACAATCAAGCAATACTGTCCAAATGCGTAATCTTATTCACATATCAGTGCCTTTCACCTTATTCAATGCCGATTAATAAATCCCCAAGTACGTTTATCCACGTCACTTTTTGCTGCCCGACAGACAAGCAGCAGGAGCTGGATTTGCCGTCTTTGCGAATCGAGGATGCGGTCGCCGCAGCGGGTAGTGCCGATGCACGGGCGGCGAAGAAGAAGGACCGTGCGCAAAGAGGCCCCGCCGCTATGTCGCACATTAGCGGTGTAAAACGACCGTTGACACACACTAACAGCTTCACCGGGGAACGTGTGCCGCTCCACGGGGTGGAAACGCCGCATGAGGATGAGCTCGGCAAGGTAAGCCTTTGACCTTTAACGTCACCGCATTTTGCGTTCCGCTCGGTATGAGAATACCGTATGCGCCACGCAGTGTCGCAGCTGAGTTCCTGAATCGTAAAAGTAAACGGGGCATCGTTTCAAAAATACATAAAAATGTATAAAAAACGAAGTTAATTTCTGCAAAAATATACACTGCACGAGAACAATATCGTAATTATATCAAACTATTGTTGTATTATTTTGCTTTGCAATGTTATATCTTTAACTTAAATCCCCATTTGAAACGGAAAAAAATAATTGGGGTGTCACGGAAAAAGAGAGAGAAAGAAAAAAGAGAAGAAATGAAAATTTACAAAAAATTCGATAATTTAAATAATTATTTGTTGTTAGATAAAAATGAATACACGTGATGTTATTTGTTCGCGTTGCAAGAAATCTTCAAAAACTTTTGCACTTAAAACCATGATGTAAAAATGAAGTATTTCATTCTCGTGATGGATGCGCAGTAAGAGAGTGAATTTATATAGAATCAAATTTGATTAACTGTTCCAGTATGCAAACGCTATACTGAGAAAAAGATACTTAAAAATTTATTTGTGAGAAACATATTTATTTATGAAATAATTTTTTATTTAAATACGATGAAACAAAGTTTTATTTTTAGGAAATAAGCCATCTATTTTATTTTTTTATAATTAACCCTTACCGTACCATCTACAATTTGGTGCCTCATCTATACCATCAAGGATCACTTAAAATCTCTTCGTTTTTTCACCTCTTCAAAATAATTTAAAAAATCTCTAAAAATTCACCAACACTTTCAACTTTCTAGAATAAATATTGATTCTTTATTTTGGAAAATAAATAAAATGTGTAGTATAATTTATAATTACCGAAAGACTCAAAGAAATTTGCACGAACAGGAATCGCTCGGTCACTAGTTACCCATATTAGTACGGTAAGGGTTAATAAAATATAATTCACAGAAACGTATATTTCATCATCACGATTAAATTTTTTTTATAATAAATATCGAAGAAAACATTTGTTTCGCAATACTTCGACATTTTTCTTTCAGTGTGTTATACACAGGAAATGCATTTTGGGGCAAATTTGATTGGTTGCTTCCAGTATTGCTATTGTCATTATGCACAATGTTATACCTTTCTTTTTACATCATGCTTACGAGATAAATATATACTCGGATGTTGAAAAAAGAGAAAGTGAAGATGTTGAGTGCAAAGAACAACGCGGACAGACCTTTATAAATAGAGGTAGACGAATATATCTAATATCAATTAGATGATTACTTTCTATTTGACTGATTGAGAATGCTTGCAACGCGATTATATCATGCTTTACATCTAAGGCAAATGTTCCTACAAGATTACAAACGTCTACTACTGAGATGATAAGCGATTAATTTGCGCTGTCTTACATCCCTAAAGTTTAATCCGAATTAACCGCACCTACAAAGATCTTTGACAAATGTCAAAGCAAATGGCAATGCGACGTTTCGATAGGATTTGTGAATCGGGATGATACTCATGTACCGATGCTAAACTGGTTACGAGCCCCAATAGAAACGAGATTTATTCAACTGTACGACCATTAATCAGCCCAACGAGAGAGCGGCACGTGTAATCCTTGTTACATATCAATATATGGCCGCAAAGTAGAAAAACAGAACGATTATATATTAATGATAAGTTGATAAATATATATTGCACGATTTTAATGCGATTATTACGATAATTACTAGATTTTAATATGATTATTGCTTGATTAGCTGGATAATTGCAAAAGCTTTATTTAGTTATGAGGTAAAGAATGAATTTCCAACAAGAGAATTCGTGTAATAACTACGCAGTAAGCGTATTAAAATCGGTCAATACGTATAATTATTAATGACTGTGCCGATTTTCTAGAAGTTTTATATCAAAATTTGATACCAAAACCGATATATAACACGGATTACACATGTAATTCTTTCTTGTCAAAAATAAAATATAAATTATAGTCATCTGTCAAGTTCTAAACAACTCTTGGAAAGGATTAGTACGGTGCTTCAACCGGTCGAAGTTACCGAGCGAAATGTTGCTTCGCACGAATAACGAGATTTACCGGTTCTCCAACTAGACAGATAATTTCGTAATATTTAATTGAAAGACATCCAGGATGATAGATAGTACTGGAAATTTGGAATTAATTTTGCAAAAACATCTTTGTCTAAAAATGTTACGTTGAAATAGTATGCTACGCATTTAAATTTCTGGATCATTTTATAGAAAGATTCAGAAATTTAACGATACGATGTTTATAAGAAAGATTGTATCGTTATACGATCTTATCGTATCGTTATACGATCTTTCTATAAAAAGATCGTATGTATACATACGATTAAAGATAAAAATCATTTTATAAATCTATTTTACAAAACATCGAAAACAATATAAAAATAATTAATTAATTAATTTAAATTTATTATTGACAATGAAATTATCGCTATTAAGTATTTACATTTTTTATGAGAATTTAAGGACTCCTGAGTATATCATATTTCGCGAAATCGGAACTTAAATTAACAGAACGGGTCTACTAAACATACACTAAATGTTCTTGTTTCTAGTTTTCCACGAAAGTTTCCATTTGGCGAATTTATCACGACGACCTCGTCGGTGATCTCGTTTATTGTTTCTTTTAGCTCTTTTGATCTGTGTACGATATTGACGTAAATTCCATCGTAGTATCCGAGAATTCCACGAGAATTCATGTTTCTGGCTTTCATCTCCGTCCACCTATGAATATATCTGTATCAAACGATAGTATATTGCGACTCGGATTGGCGTCATACTGCGCTGCTTCAATTTCGGAAAATTTCAACGACGTCCTCGATACGTGCACTCACGCTGATCAAACTTTTATTTAGAATACCTACCTCCGATTTTACAGCGTTAGTATACACAACACAAACAATGTAACAACACAGTGAGAAAACAATGAAAAAGAAAGGAAAAAGAAATTATAGACTCGATTACACATAAATCTCGCGGATTAAGAAGATTATAAAAACGCGAGCTGTTCGATCGACAATTAAGCTTTACACGAAGCTTATGTTACATCATTAACGGTGCTGAATTTATATTGATTGTTGATATTTACCGAACTTTTAGGGTAAACTTGGATAAGATGACCATAGTTTTCTTAAAATACAAAAACTTTTATTTTTGTTATTTTTTAATATTGTGTTTAGTTTATCACTTTACTGGAACCCAAAGTAATAAAAAAATTAATTTAAAAAGAAACATAAAAGCCAACCGATGGTTCTTTTTGTGAAAATAATCTTATATAAATGATTAATCATCAAAATACAACATAAAGTAACAAATCTATTAAAAAACTATTGAAATTTTATATATTTTGTATAAATATATGTATAATTATATATATATGTATATATATAATATATAATTTCGTTATAATTATAAATATACATATAATTATATTTATTTATATGATTATACATATAATGATACTGCAATAGTAAAATAAAGATTATAATTTTTTCAAACAATGATTTCTATAATTTAAAAAACCAATGTGTATGTGTGTGTATGTGTGTATTATTTGGTTAATGGTCATCTTTCCTAGATTGTAACAAAAAGATGGATATTTATAAATAAATAATGAATGAAAATGCAAATACAAATTATAGATCAGATTACAATTTATTACGCATTAATTTATACCGTTATAACGTTGATTACGACAGCTCAACTGTAATTTATTCAACGTTATAATAATTTTTAATTCGATCTTCGTAGGCAGTCAAAATAAAAATATTGCATAATGTTCACAGTATTGTCTTTTCGAATAGTGTACGTATACATATAAACTATTGTAAATATTAATTACTTTGAGAATAACTACAAAAATGCTATTTAGCAATTATTGGAAAAATCGCATCCTATGACCATCTTTCCCATATGATCGTAATATCCGTGTTTATCTCACGTTTCCGTATGCATATCACGATTTTCGCATTTTATTCTCTTCAGGAAACAACTGTATTTGTCGTGCAATTTCAAATTTGCATGTCAACGCGTGGGTACACGATGAGATTCAAGCGTTGAATACATATCCGAGTTATTCATTATATAGAAAATCTCCGGGGTAAATATCTCTAAATTATTGAAATCGCTAGGGGAGCCGTCAGATAATAGTAAAGAATAACGATTGCTTTTAATGTCAAAGTGTCGGCCGGTCGCAAAGCTTAATGGCTTCGACGAACTGAAACTCTGGCATGTAAACATAATAACGCAGAAGCTTATCATTCAGAAGTTTTCATTCTGTTTTACGCGGATGTTAATAAAGGATCTTGAAGAATTTAATTTATTGCACTTATATCACCTCGGAATGTTTAACTTTCGCCTAAATATCTTTCTGAAATACACATCGCTTCTCCCCGATGCAAATAAATCATGTCGCGCATATCTTCTCATTTCTTCTTTATTTGATTGCGAGCTTATCTCTTTCTCGGCGGCAAATACGTGACGGTTGGCGCGCGCGAGTGACGATAGAACTTTTAGAAAAAAAGACGTTTACCCTGTAGCATATGATTACGCCGATTACAAGGCCATTATATTTTAACAGGCAGAAGCATTTGGGTCGAGGTCGCGCGATTTCGATAACCTTAATAGCTTCACCGATTAGCGAGGCGCATTTTTCGCAATGAAAGAGAAGCTGATTTTCGGCACTTCTACGAAAGTGATATCGCGATCGCAATATCATTCACAATGACCTGAAATGAAATTCGAGAAATGTTTCCAGATACTCTTAACTTCAACTGCCACGTATATCGTATTATTACTTTACCTTTATGTTATAAAATACAGTTAATAACTCAAGTCTGCGACGCAGTACTTTAGGGAGGAATAAACTCTAACGCCGCTGTTTGTATACTCTCTTAGAAATCTCACTTCTGGGAAAGCAAGCGGTGAAAGGCAATCTTTCCATTATGCAAATTGAAGTAAATTTTCTTAATGAAAAAGAAGAACGAACCGGGTGTATTAAGCGCTGCTATTCTGCATATTAATCAGATTTCTCATAGAGAGACCGTCGGTGATACGCTCGCCAGATTAAATACGACGCAGACGTATCCTTAGATGGCTACGTGATTTTGTGCAGGTTCCCCAAGACCAGAGACTTATTTTTATTTACCTACGTAATTATGATTCAACCGTTTCAGAATGTCATCTTAATGTCGCTATGGATACTTTATTTGGCGCCTGAGTTGACGCTTCCTACGCTTTTTCGAGACTGTTATTGATAAAATTAAGTGATTGAAACCAGTTGTGACGTTGTTACTCAATGAAAATCAGTTTAATGATATTTATATAAACGATATCCAGTCAAGTCTTCTTAAATCTAGTTTGCTTGCTTTTTATCTTCTTTGTTGTCGCACGAATAATGTGCGAGACTGCAATGTTGTCCATGAATAATCAGCGTGTGACCTTTCAATGATAACACATGACCTCCGCTATCTGTACTTGAAGACACATTGCATTCTTTCGTTTAATGAGTTGCTACAAGGCGCATTTGTGCTCATAATTAATATATCTACATCGTGCAGTATAATAATTGAATAATAACTACAATCAATTTCTCTTTTTTTCTCGATATCACTTCAAAGCGAAACATTTAATTCGTATATCGCACGCACAATACCGCTATATTATTGTGAGAATCGTTGTAAATGTTTCACGTAATTATTTACAGTTGCTCTCGGACATCGACAAATGGGGTATCGATATCTTCAGGATAGGCGAGCTTAGTAACAATCGACCCCTCACCTGCGTGGCGTACACGGCCTTCCAGAGTCGAGATCTGCTCAAATCGCTGGCGATACCTCCCAAGACCTTCGTTACCTTTATGATGACCCTAGAGGATCATTATGTGAAGGATAATCCCTTCCACAATAGCCTCCATGCAGCCGATGTGACCCAATCTACTCACACTCTGCTCAACACACCCGCACTCGAGGTTTGTATGTAATGTATATACGCCTTTGCTTGTGTAACATCATTTTATCTTTTTTCCAAACTTGGAAATAAGTATATTGCTCTCATAATAAGCTTTACCAATATCTCATTGACGAGTATAAGATACTTTGTAAACTACAGAATTGAGATGTCGCAAGAAAAATATATTTTCTATGACAACGTATCGTAAATCATATATTTTCTACATTACAGTCCGTGTTCACGCCATTGGAGATCACCGCTGCATTATTCGCGGCTTCCATCCATGATGTAGACCATCCTGGACTCACGAATCAGTTCCTCATTAATTCAAGTAAGTATCGGCGAGATTTGTCAAACTTTCTGTTCTGCGTTATTTGTTATTTTATTATTTTGTGTTGCGTTAAATATTTAAACAATATATTATATTTCTCTATCGAAAAAAAAATATCTGCAATTAACGTTCTCGTTGCTTCTGTTTTTTTTTTTATAATGACCAGCAAATTAATGATCCGTTTTTTTTTCTTTTGCTCAGGTTCCGAACTCGCGTTGATGTATAACGACGAGTCGGTATTGGAGAATCATCATTTGGCGGTCGCATTCAAGCTTCTGCAGAATGAGGGCTGTGACATATTCGTGAATATGACGAAGAAGCAACGGCAGACGCTGCGGAAGATGGTCATCGACATGGTCCTCTCGACAGACATGTCGAAGCACATGTCGTTGCTGGCCGATTTGAAAACCATGGTGGAGACGAAGAAAGTCGCCGGTTCCGGTGTGCTACTGCTCGACAATTACACCGATCGTATTCAGGTGCTGGAAAATTTGGTACACTGCGCCGACCTGTCTAATCCGACAAAACCATTGACTCTTTATCGACGATGGGTGGGCTTGCTGATGGAGGAGTTCTTCCTGCAAGGCGACCGCGAGCGGGAGCAAAATATGGATATTAGTCCGATGTGCGATCGCCACAGTGCGACCATCGAGAAGTCGCAGGTCGGCTTCATCGATTACATCGTACATCCACTTTGGGAAACCTGGGCAGATTTGGTGCATCCAGACGCGCAGGAGATCCTGGACACTCTTGAGGAGAATCGCGACTGGTATCAGTCAATGATACCGCCATCGCCGCCGTCCGATGATCAGCAACAGTCAGGAACGAACGAAAGTCAACAGCAACAAGATAGGATACATTTTCAAGTGACATTGGAGGAAGGTGATGAGACTAGCGAGGCTGTAGAAGGTGGTGACACAGGGGGCGGCGATGACGGCGGTGGCGGTGAATTTTCCAGCGAGGATCCGGGCGGTGAGACGGAGGAGAACGCCACGGAGGCTGGGATGTGACGGAGGCTCGCTGGTATTTGCAGGAAGCTCCATGAGAAGGTACAACAGAGTTGGTGGCGAGTGCGTCAGTGACATTCGCACCTAGCCGCGCCTAGTCGCCGGTCCTTTTGTATCGACCTATGCCGTGTCGGCTGGACCACGAGGGAGGACGGCGATTAAGATGACGGAAGCCGTCTCGATCGAGCGGCAAGAGACAACGTCCCGACGACGACGGAATTATTGTTCACGAAGTGCGAAAGACGCTTCAGGATCGTTAAGTTTCGGCTGGACCGAAACAAGCTGTAAATGGACGAAGCTGCACGTCTTTTGTCGTCGTCATCGTCACCGTCGTCATCGTCGTCGTTTCAGTTTTGTCTCCACGTTTCGTCTCGTTGAATACTGTCAAGCGGGAGGGGCGAATCTCTTTTCACAAAGTACCTGCGCAAATGAAAGCGGCAACTGTATGTTTGCTACGTCGAATGGGTGGCAAGATGTTTCTTTTTTTCATTTACACACGCACACACACCGAAGATGGTGATAATCGGCACACGATAATTGTCCATCGTGTACCGATCGTCATCTTTTCTACTGATTTAACGATGTTGTGTCGCCGTCGAAGGCTGGAGGGAACCTCTCTTCCAGGACATGCAGGATCCTCAACAACATATCAACAATGTACGATATACTATGGATTCTAACGATGCGTATTAGCGATACTTCCGAGCAGATCGATGTCTCTGTCTTCTTCTTGGATTTTGAACGCAGCGCGAAAATTGTTGACACGTAAGCAACATTTTGAGACTTGTATTTGCATACGACGGAAGTTTATCAATTTGTTTCTAATTCCTAAGTTACAATGTAATGTCATAAGCTCAATAATACGTTGCATTTTCGTGATCTAATTTTATGAATAATTTGGTCAACGTTTTACCATTAGTCGATATTCAAAATTATTCGCGTTATCGAATCGAGCTTAATTTCGTTATCCGAAATGTACGTTATACCGAAAAGGAAGAGACGACGAAATTAGAAAACAATTAAACAAAAGGATACTCAGTTGCAGTTAGGCGCGTTCATCCTTTTAGTTCTTCGACGGTTATTCGATAGTCACCTACTTATAGAGAAAGAGATACCTGTCTTTAATCGTAAGATTTTGTCATGTTCGCTTCGTAGACGTAGACAAGTTCGTAAGTGAATTGTTCGTAATCGAAAAACGAGAATCCAGAAGTAGCCGCGTGTCTATAAAGGAAATGCTAGAGCAAATACGTAGAGTATTACCCGTTGTCTGTATGATATTTAAGCGAAAGAAGTGAGGGAGGAGTCCATTTCTTTTTCCCATATCATGCAGTTGACGGGAGAGCACCGAGCAGCAGAATGAGGGGCATCGAGATAAGGGTACAATTAATTTTAATACACAACCATATTAAGAGCTGGTCTTTTAAGTTTGTATTAAAATTAATTACCAGAGCCGCGAGACGCTTTCTTGCGATATATACAATACACACAAAACACACACAACGTATACATACATACCTAGTCGACACAAACTAAAATTAATGTAGATTTCAACGTTATAACTTTGTACTCAGCAATATAACTGTTATGTAACACTATGTGTTATATATTACATTCATATTGTTGAGGGTGCGAAATTATAACATTGTTAAGTTACTTTTAATTTGTGTCGAGTGGGTAATAACACAAATGCAATACGTACAATTACAATGCAAGCGAGGTTATATATCGATAGATGTTTTTAACCAAAGAGTAATATAAGTGATTGTTAAGTCGATTGCCGAGCGTGCCATTCACCAATACGTCTTCTGATGACGAATAATCTAGCGACAGTCCTTGGAATTTCGCGTAGTATGTTAATCAAAGGGAAGTATCCTCATCATACGGATGTCCATAAATCGCTCAAATTTGCAAGTTCGTTCGATGTTCAAAACCGCGATTCAAACGGATTTGGAGCGCTGGTGAACGCCAAACGTTTGTCACTGTTTTTTAATGTACAAATTATGCTGATGCATCATGAAAATAATTTTTGTCTTCTCTTGAATTATGAGTCGCACGAAAATCTTTTAATTTCCTGAGGGGAAAGGGGAAGCAGAGTAGTCATACGTATTGGTGGAATGGCGACAATTTCGCGCCTCGATGATATCAGGGAATTGAAATGGAAAACGTTATTAGCGATCGATAAGCGAGTGCATCGAGGATCAGCCTAAAAACAAAATTAACGTTTTACTACTATTCTAAGTCGTAAGCTTGCCATCGACGCGAAGTAGGAAAAATTCGAGTCTGATCGGAAACGTTTGTAAGCGACCGGTAGCTCGGGCTCACGTAATCGTACATTTCTTATAATCACGTTAAGGGAAATTACCTAAATCGTAAAAACAGAAAAAAAACCGGAAAAAAATACTACGGAGAAAGCAAAATCTCTATGTGTGTTGTAGACAATGATCTAGTGAGTGTTTTGGTGCTGGTCACCAAGCTTTAGCGCGTAAGAAAAACTCCGAGGTTCACGAGAGTCCGCGACTACATTGTTAAGTCGAGAAAAGGGAGTTAACTTAACGAAGTTTTTAGGGCGTAAGCAACGAGGTTATAATAATAATAATATTAATAATAATTAAAGATAATAATCATAATATAAACAGTAATAATGATAAGCGCGATATAAGAAAGATACTGATTTATTAATGTTAACGATAACACTCGTTGCGCGAACGAATGTAATCGAGATCATGTTCGCTTCAGCCGTCGGGGCAATGTCGTAAAAGGAGGAGGAGGAAGAGAAAGACTATAAAGTGTTATCGATTATGTACCTCTGCACTGACGCCGAGTTTGACACTTGGTGAAAGTATTCGATTAGACGGCGATTTTTTAATTATTTAGCGCGAGTGCGTCTTTGATTGTATTTTTGGCGTGGACGAGCGGAAATGCACTCGTTCTTTCCGTAACATTTTTTTCTTGTCGCTCGTCTCGATGGATCTCGCGAGTGTGTGCGCAGGTACAAAAATAAAAAAACAAAAAAAAAACGCCACAAAATACGATTTTGTCATACAAATCTTGTTGGATCATCGTGATTTGTCACGCTTCTAAAGCATCGTTGCTGGAGCAACGAAATGTCTTCTCTAACACATACAGTCTGCCAGTTGCTCGTTAAAAGTGTAAAAAAAAATAGAAACAGCCAAAGAAAAAAGTACAGAAATTGACGATTCAATGATGATTTACAAGTATAACAAATCGCGGTGATTCAACAAGATGTGTAACAATATTTAGTAATAATAGATTGGTAATGATGATGAGATGGGGAGAGAAAAATAAAAATACCTGTTTGATTGCTGGACAGTTAAATGAATGTATTAATATCGTGTAATCGTCGTACGAGATATATGTGTAATAAAACATATTTATTGTCGGAAGTCTGGATCTTTCTTTTCTTCAACCCAATCGAGTGATCATAGTGTTTTTTAAACCTATATAGACATAAAAATGTTTGACAAACATGCAAGTATATCTATCAAGACAAAAATAAAATAACAGTCTTTTATAAATCAATTAAAAAGGATTAAAAAAGCCTACACGGTTGTTGGTGCACAGTTATTTATTTATTCATCGAAAATAATCCGCATATGTTCCCGCCGACGTTTTCGGTCCTTCTCAATGCGAATTGAGACATTAAATTAAATAATAAATTATACATGATATTTAAGTCGATCTGTCATCTTTTATAAATTGACTTTTCATGATTAATAATAACTTTACATAATAATATACGATAATGTATGAATCAATAAATTTTTAATTCAGTCCCTGATTTTTGGATATAAAGGAAGGTGATGTAGTAGATTGAAACCACAGAGTCATCTTAATTATTTGTAAATATATTATTAAGTATAACATCTATAATATAATAATAATATAATAATGAAAAACCATTTACATTAATAGTTATCATTTACATTAATAGGTAATATTGTAATCCAATAGTAAAACACTCAGTTATGTATAGATTCTCGATAGCCTTCAAGCATGATGAACTTTAGAGTAGTAGTACCATCAGATCGCGCGTGTTACAGTGCAGAACATTTTCCGTCCGACTGTCCGTAATTTTTTTCCTCCTATCAATAATACATACAATAGTTTTGTCGCCGTCTCCCCTATTTTTTTATTTGATAATTCGCGCTGCGCGCCCACACGCACATACGTACATACGGGATAAAGCCGATATTCCTCAGAGAAAATGTGCCAGGCATCAGGGGCTTTACACCGTGCAATTATTCCTAATCTATCGTCTCGTTATTATACATCGGGATGCCTCAAATCGTGCGGTAGCGTTGCCTCCGATTGAAACTCGAACGATAGTTAACCGTCGAGGCCGTGTGCCTCGACGGAATTTCAAGCAAAACACAAGTCATCATTACATTAAAATGATTCCAAAATGATTGCTAAAGTTACTTTTTAATCAGTAACGATTTATTTTAATGTTATTTTGACATTATCGTGACTTGTTGTTCTGCTTGGGGATCACATGTCGCAAATCCTACAACGGAAAGAGGAAGCCTCGACATATCCGGATTCATTCATATTAAACAAAAGTCCCTCCCGCACGAAATTGGCCGAATTCTTCCGGACAAATATACCTGAGTGCACCGGCTCGAGAACGAAACGCCGATAGAAGAAATTCATCTTTAATTCGCAGATAAATTTGACGCGTGCTCATAAATTGGTAGTGCTCTATCGGCTCTCGTCCCGTCATTTACGAAAATCGATTAAAATTACCAAGTAACTCGCTAAGAATTAGAGACGGTAATAGTCGTTGTGTCGTGCCCTACAGGTAGTGACGTGTGCGCGTGTTCGATTACACTGTATAAGGAGAGCAGGAAGAAGCTCTCCCGCGTTACGTTATAAACATCTGGATTAATTAACCGCCTTAGAGTATCCGCCACTTAGTTCGCCCTCGTGGATGATATCGAGACATCCTTCTCAAATATATTGTACATTCTGCGTGTCGTCGTTTTGCGAAAATCTCTCCCTTGAATCTCTTCGCCACTTGTAAATATATAAACAAAAGAAAATTAAAAGAACAAAACAGGAAAAGTTGATAATAGCAACACGTCTTACGCATTTGATTTGGGAGCTTAAAAACAAGCTACTTCGATGCAAACTCGAATATTATTGCGCGATGACAGAGGCAACTTAATAGCGATTGCGAGTGCAACTACATGGATTACGTTAGTTACAAGAACAGAGCTTAATCTCGTCAATGCGACTGACGTCGGCCGCACCGGTTTAACTTCACAACAATAAAAACATAGTATATATATTTTTTTCTCACAATATAATTTATCTTTAAATATTTCTGTATATTTTGTATAACTATGTAACCTTCGATATAAATACCCTGAAATCTACACTCTCGCGATCACTATCATAAAATTGAATTCACCTCCAGCTCGCTTTTTTCATCCTCCCTCCTTCATTTTCTTCTTTTTACAGTGAATATCGACGTACACGATGCGAGATTACATTCGATCGTGACTGTCACTATATATATGTATATTCGAATCCTTTAGAATCTACTATGTACAAATAATCTCCCGCAGCTTTTTCGATTCTGGGCTGCAACTTAAATGATGGCTTACTGATACCAGCGAAGCTAGTTTGTAGAACGGAATGGTACAAGTTTGCTATATTACAGGATACTAATTGACAGAGTACAGAACATAAATGTACATATTGGGAATCACAGTTGCAAAGAAAAATAACAGCTGTATTTTTATGGTAGTTAGAGCAGCCGACTCTAAAGTTTTGGATTTTTCTTTAGAAACTTCGCATACGGTATACAACTACGCATACAAATAAAGAAATCGGAGTAATTACAATTTTTGTCATATTAAGAACATAATTGCAAAGGACTATAGTAAATAAAGAATTAAGAAAAATAATCTCTTGCATACCGCGCAGATGAAAGATCAAACACAAAAGAATTCCAAGAAGGAATCGAATGCTGATCGAGCCCTTTCGATCGTCGACTATATCCTTATCAATTCGTTTGTATATTTCATTCGGTTTATATTTACCGAATAGTGTACAATTTATAGCCAACATCGAATTGTCGCGTAATATATTTATATATTTATATATTTGTTCGTATATCTAACTGCCCAAGTAATATATGTATAATTGATTAATACGCAGTCGAATACCGTTCTCGCTCTCCGTCCTCTGCGAGCAGAGTCCTTAAGTAAAATATTTCGGATAAAAAATATGTATATTTTGTCGACATGGTGGTTTCTGTTAGAGGATCGTATCAAACGATCACACTGTCGTCATTTCGTAACTCTTTCTTCTTTTTATACAATAACTCTCAACGTTTTAAAATGTATTTAACAAAATCCGATACACGGTCGGCTTAAAATTAAACAATTTGTTAGTTTCTCAAAAGATTCATTATATAAACGCTAGATTTTTTTGTTTGTTCATCGCTAGATATATCTTTATTCAATCATTTCTAAAAAAATCACATAAAAATCCAGTATCTATTTTACTATTTCAGACTCTTTCCCAGAATATATCAAATTATCCGTAAAAATTATGGCTAAATTTTACGGAAGAAACCTGAAAGAGTTATTTATTATTATAACCCATGCAGTCTAATCTACTGCCTATTTTCTCTCTTGATATCGATATGTTGTATTGCAATGATCTTCCGTCGCATGATCATTTGATAATTGAATCGAATTATCTTCAAATTGCACTTCTTTTTTTATCTTATGTTTTCAACATTTCGATTAGTATCGTGAAGAATCATATTGGAGTGGATAAAAGAGATTATATTAAATTAATCAACCGAACATTTGTTCGATATTTTTTAAAATCTAGAATTGATTATTTTTAACTATTAGCGTAATTATTTCTCTCTCTATTTCATCAATCACTAAAACAGTTGTTTATTCAATTAATTTCATAAAAGAAAATGGTTGATGGCAGTGATATTTCATGTTTATCTCAGATCGTTACCATTTCAAGTCCTTGCGCTGCAAGTACATTTTCGTTACGACTATGACACTCGGTAGGATCGCGTGACCGAGATTTCCCGATCACTTCACAGAAACTCTCGATAGCGTATAGTAAGTATCGACCTCATATTCATCGCACGAGGATTATAGTTCAAATGGCGGATCAGTGTAGTTTTTACAGAGTGCTTACAGGCTAAACGCTCCCTCTCGATAAATATCTCTCCCGCGCGAGGTATACAAAAGAAAGCGAGGAATTCTTTAGGAGCAAGAGTCCATTTTTCTGTCCTTATACTAACAGCGATAATAGTAATAATTACAGTAATAATCGTTCGTATGGTTTCTCTCTTTTTACAGCGGCTCCTCCACGGCAAAGAGCGATTCATGCCACGAAGCTTTTAACGGAAATGCGTATAATTACAGGTTGGACGTGGCACACATACAGTTCTCTTATTCTTCCCTAAATAAGTACATGTATCGCCTGTCGCACTTAGAAGCGTCGAACGCGTCCGGCGAATGTGGCAGTGGCTGCGGAACTACTTCTAAGTAGTTATAGATCTATCACTTCCTTCTTTCTTTCTCTCGAATTCTCTCTTTCTCGCTCTCGTCCTCTCATTCATTCTTCCTTTCTCTCTCTTTCTCTCGCTTTTACTCCCTTTCGATCTATGAGCAACACTCATTTCGTATAATATTGGCCCCAGCACCCTTATTATTTTCTTTTATTATTACATCATCTCACGCGACGACTAGTACAAGCGTTAGGAATTTACATAGCATGAAATTAGTTATTATTAGACAGTTTATGGAAAATATGCTTTCAATAAAGGTTTGTGTATATGTACATACTCAAAGAATTTATCAATATTTAGCTGTGTGTTATAGAGCAAAAGTAAAGAATGAAATAATTAGAGTTAAATTAAGTAAATGTTAGAAAATTATATGATTATTTACTTTTATATATATACATATAAAGATAACGTAATAAATGAGTACACCTTTCATAACGAAACACCATAAAAGATAAAAGCACATAGAGCCCGAATGTGTCGTCCTTTATTTCCGGTTACGACGTCGCGGAACTAGCGGCTCTTTTCACAAAACTCAATAAGTCGTCGTTGGGTTTTCCTCACATCTTCAAAGGCAAACGTACACCGTTATACAATAACACAAATCCACGCCG